ATGCGGCGCCGGCGGTCGCGCCGCCCTCAAGCGGCGGCCAACTGCGTGCAGGGCGGCTACACGAAGGCCGAGGGCGCCTTCCGGTGGCTGCTCCTCGTCTGCATGCCCGCCTTTGGCCACTGCGCGGCCGCCGTGCCTAGCCCGACGGCGGTGGCCTCGGCCTTCTCGTCTGCCGTCGCCTCGGCGTCCTCGGCCTTCTCATCCGGCGTCGCCTCGGCTGCGTCCTCGGCCTTCTCGCCCGCCGTCGCCTCGAAGGCGTCCTCGCTCGTGAGCTGCTCGCCGCTTCTCATGCCCGCCCTCGTGCTCATCCTCCTCGCCATCGCCTGCGGCGCCTCCTGGCCGACCGCGGCGAGCGGAAAGGGGGCGACGTGCTGTGCAGAATACTTCAACATGTCAGGACTGCGCTCTGGTCTTTGTCTACTACTGCTGCCTTGCTTGGTTGCTGCTAACGGTTGCGTTTCCAGTCCGACGCCAACGGCGCCTTCAAGCTTCGAGCACAGATGGTGGAAGGGGGGAACAGGCAGCACCGGCTCTTTTACCGACGTGAAAATCGCGGACCACGATCCGTGTGATCCATGTGTAGCAACCAAGAATGCTAAGAGTTGCCCATCAGCCATGTCATATCCACGATTTGCTTCGAGGGCTGCTCGAAACCACTCTCTCTTCAGCATTTTCCGGCAGCACTACATGTCTTATGGTTACGCTGGCATCGAGGTGTGTGGGCCATATCCCTACAACAATGAACGAGGTTCTCAGAAGCTGCTCAACTTGCTTCTTTTGCACGTGCCCAATTTTCTCCGATGGCTGCCCACCATCGAGCGCATGGATCAGATAGGCAGTGGAACCACATTCTTGCTTAGCCATGCAAGTGGCACAGCCCGTGTGTCTGGCACCCTCCTTCGCTACTTCAAGTTTGCAACGGATCTGAAGGCACTATTTGGTGATCTAAAGGGTAAGCATCTCATCGAGATCGGTGTCGGCTTTGGCGGGCAGGCAGCTGCGATAGCTCATGTTTTTCCAGAGCTGGGCTCGTACACTCTGCTCGATCTGCCTGAACCGCTCCGCCTTGCTCAGACTTACCTTAAGCACGCAG